GCTTGGTTTAGACTTGGGTTAGACCTGGTTTACATCTGCTTTGGTCCCTGGTTTAGACCTAGTTTAGCCCTAGGTTAGACCTGGTGTAGACCTGGTTTACACCTGGTTTAGACCTGGTTAGTCCCTGTTTTAGTCCTGATCTTTGTCCTAGCCTTTGTGATCAGTCGGTACAGTGGTTGTCCTTGAGTGTCAGATGCCCTCCCGTGCGTCAGAATCGTGTCAGGTCCGTGACTCGTGTCAGGTCCGTGACTCGTGTCAGGTCCGTGACTCGTGTCAGGTCCGTGACTCGTGTCAGGTCCGTGACTCGTGTCAGGTCCGTGACTCGTGTCAGGTCCGTGACTCGTGTCAGGTCCGTGACTCGTGTCAGGTCCGTGACTCGTGTCAGGTCCGTGACTCGTGTGTGAGTTAAAGTGGAGGTTTGTGCAGAGCTGGAGTCACAGCAGCACAAACTATTATTGAAATGGTCGACATAGTTCAGATTTTGTCTAATAATACACCACAGCCTTGTGCAATCAGGTGTCAGATGTGACTTCACTACACTCAGCGTCTGCCGCCTCCGCTCACAGTCCACCGAGTCACACAGTCCACCGAGTCACACAGTCCACCGAGTCACACAGTCCACCGAGTCACACAAACACCAAACACTCTTCTCTTCTACAACTTTTACCTAAACTAGATCCTCATTTTTTTCCTTGAATGTGTTTAGAACGACCTGGAGCTGGATCAGAACAAGTATAAGACACAGAAACTAGAATACACACATGGACCTGGTTTAGTCCTGGTTTAGTCCTGGTTTAGACCTGGTTTAGTCCTGGTTTAGTCCTGGTTTAGTCCTGGTTTAGTCCTGGTTTAGTCCTGGTTTAGTCCTGGTTTAGACCTGGTTTAGACCTGGTTTAGACCTGGTTTAGACCTGGTTTAGACCTACTTTACTGGTTTGACTGGTTTAGACTGGTTTAGACTGGTTTAGACCTGGTTTAGACCTGGTTTAGACCTGGTTTAGACCTGGTTTAGACCTGGTTTAGTCCTGGTTTAGACCTACTTTAGACCTACTTTAGACCTACTTTAGACCTGGTTTAGACCTGGTTTAGACCTGGTTTAGACCTGGTTTAGACCTGGTTTGGTCCTGGTTCAGGCTGAGGAATTACACAGATATAAAGACACATGGGAATGGAAAATAAAGTTCTACCATTTAATGTGGAAAATCACAGGAGATTGTTTAAACAAAGAGTTTCATTTTCATTGTGAAATCAGAATCGGTATTGAGTATCGAGTATCGAGTATCAAGTATCGAGTCTGATCCTTAGTACTGAAAAAAGTTTGACATTTTTGGTTTTGAAAACCATTCTTACAGCAGAAGTCAGTGCTTCTTATGGACTCAAAAAGGGCAGAAAAACTAGGACCAGGCCCAGGACTAAACCAGGTCTGAACCAGGACTAAACCAGGTCTGAACCAGGACTAAACCAGATCTGAACCAGGACTAAACCAGGTCTGAACCAGGACTAAACCAGGTCTGAACCAGGACTAAACCAGATCTGAACCAGGACTAAACCAGATCTGAACCAGGACTAAACCAGGTCTGAACCAGGACTAAACCAGATCTGAACCAGGACTAAACCAGATCTGAACCAGGACTAAACCAGGTCTGAACCAGGACTAACCCAGGTCTGAACCAGGACTAAACCAGGTCTGAACCAGGACTAACCCAGGTCTGAACCAGGACTAAACCAGGTCTGAACCAGGACTAAACCAGATCTGAACCAGGACTAAACCAGGTCTGAACCAGGACTAAACCAGGTCTGAACCAGGACTAAACCAGATCTGAACCAGGACTAAACCAAATCTGAACCAGGACTAAACCAGATCTGAACCAGGACTAAACCAGGTCTGAACCAGGACTAAACCAGGTCTGAACCAGGACTAAACCAGGTCTGAACCAGGACTAAACCAGGTCTGAACCAGGACTAAACCAGGTCTGAACCAGGACTACATTAACTCAAAACACAAACGCTGCAGTTCCCATAATTTCCCAAAGACCCATAATTTCCTCCACAAACAAAGTCTCCTGTGTTAATGTGCATAAAAACATCTAAGGCTGTAGTTTAGATCTGAACAAACTTCTTCTGAAACATGACTCTTGTTTTATTTTGTCAGTTCAGATTTCACTCTTTCTGCAGATTGTTCTGGACGAGTTTAAAATGTGAACTTTGAACTGAATCCTCTTAGTAAAACGTTTAATTCTAGATGAAAATGTGAGATTCAGTGATTGTTTTTAGCCTGATTTGAACTTCAGTTGTACATCATCATTATGACATAAGAAACAAAAACTATATCAAATTAAACAAACCACTACTACTAAAACAAAACACTACTAGTACCACTGGTAATACTACTACTACTACTACTACTACTACTACTACTACTGGTAATACAGGTTCTACAAATACTTTGTGAATATTTGTGGAATTACTCACTGAGGTTTGGGTTCAGCTTCCATTTGTTGCCCTGAAAAAAAGAAAAAAAGAAAAACAAACATGAGCAGATTAAACCAGTGCAGAGGAGCACCTGACTCTGGGATTTGTAGTTTTAAGTGCATTTTGTAGTCCTTTACAGAGGGGCAGTTTGTGCATGGGATTTGTAGTTTATTGAGAGTATATTTGTAGTCCTTCACCTTCATACAGCAGCACTTTGTACCCTGACTGTATGTGTGTGGGATTTGTAGTTTTTTTCATGAGTAATTTGTAGTTTTTACTGTACCAGAGAGACAGTATATCCAAACTGTATGTGTGTGGGATTTGTAGTTTTTTCGTGAGTATATTTGTAGTCTTTTTCACAGGGGCAGAGGTATGTGTATGGTATTTGTAGTTTTTAAGTGTATGAGTTTGTAGTTTTTACCGTGGCACAGGGGCAGTTTGTGCTTCCATCGCTCCAGCAGCGTGAGCCCGAGCAGAGACACACTGAGCAGGAAGAGAGGACGCAGAGACGTGGACGACAACAGCCTGAAACAAACAAACAAATTCACGTGACGAATCAGGACTAAAGCAGAACTAAACCAGGACTAAACCAGGACTAAACCAGGACTAAACCAGGACTAAAGCCAGGACCAAAGCAGGACACAGTGCTTTAATTTGATGGAATCCTGAACATTTACCATGTCAACCTGAGGTCCCTGGTTTAGTCCTGGTTTAGTCCAGTTGGTGCTGACTACAAATGAACTTAACGGCTTTAATTAGAGCTTTAACACAGTTTTAAGTGTTTTACTGCTAGAGCAGCTGACTGAACATCTGTTTAAAATAAATAAATGTACCGCAGTAAAACAGTCGGAATAAACTTTATCAAAGGCAGAAAAAACAGTAAATGAGAGTAAAGTGTGAACGCGCCGGATGACAGGGACATACTGAGATATAAACACAGACATACATACTGCATAAGTGTATATATGGTTATAAAAATATACGTGTATATAAGTGTGTATATGGTTATAATCATAGACAGGCTCTGGTTATAAACATATACGTGTATATACGTGTATATATGTGTATATACGTGTATATAAGTGTATACATGTGTGTGTATATAAGTGTATATAAGTGTATCTGTGGTTGTATTGAGACAGTTATAAACAGGTAATAACAGATTGTGTGTTATAAACAGAACAGTGCGGCCGCACGTGCGTAACTCCGTAAATAAACGTTCGAGTGGCACGTCGCGCGGAGACACGTCACTTTACATCACAGCCGCTCACAGACTCTATATAATCTATAATGTAAACTCTAATTTAACCTGTATATAAAGTGTAGTTGTAGTAAAGCGTCCTGTCGGTGTAAACACAGCTCCATTAGCTCAGAGCGCAGGGCCCAGCGCCGCGACGCGCCGCAGACGCGGATTAGCTAAACTAACGTGACATTTATCGATCCTTCCTTTAAAGCGCATTAAAAAGTCTTATTCTAAACAAAGTGTGGTTCTCGGGTGAAACGGTCGTTACCAGAAGAGCGTGTTGAGCGTGACGGCCGCAGACACGCTGTACACGGGCCTCTCCCACACCAAGATCCGCTGGAGCCACAGCAGCAGCGGCTCGTACTGCGACAACCACCCGCGGACCCGCTCCGACAGCCGGGCCAGCTCCGGGTCCAGCTCCCCGGGCTCCTGCTCCTCCGGGCCCGCGGGGAACAGCGCCTCCACAGAGCCGGGCAGAGCGTGTCCGGGCCCCAGGGTCGGTCCCGGGCTCGGTCCCGGGGTCGGTCCGCTGCGCTGCTCCGCGCCGCTCGCCATGTTTCACTTTGTTTGTTTGTGACGGAGCGGAGGCGGAGCGTGTCAAGCGCGACTTAACCGCGCACACCGGAAACACGCTTCAAAATAAAACTCACACCGGATGTGACTTAAATACAAATGTTTAGAAGAGTTCAGAGGCGGAAATAAAGAAATATAAAACACAACAGAATCTAAAGTGAAACATCGTGTGTTTGAAGGTTTAAAAGAGTTAAAATTATTTTTTATTATTTTTATTTCTACTTCCGCTTCAGCCTCTGCACGTGCACGCGAACTTTACAGTTTATCCTCCACCGGAAGAAGAGAAAGAACAGAGAAAATCATGGATGTATAATAAAAACATTTGATTTTATTATTTTATTATACAGAGAGAGAGAGAGAGAGTGTGTGTGTTGTGTGTATATGTGTGTGTTGTGTGTTGTGTTATGTGTGTGTGTGTGTGTGTTGTGTGTGTGTGTGTGTGTGTGTGTGTGTGTGTGTGTATGTGTGTGTGTGTGTGTGTGTGTGTGTGTGTTGTGTTATGTGTGTGTGTGTTGTATGTGTGTGTGTGTGTGTGTTATGTGTGTGTGTGTGTTGTATATGTGTGTGTGTGTGTGTGTGTGTGTGTGTGTGTGTGTGTGTGTGTGTTGTGTTATGTGTGTGTGTGTGAGTGTGTGTGTTGTATATGTGTGTGTGTGTGTGTGTTGTGTTATGTGTGTGTTGTATATGTGTGTGTGTGTGTGTGTGTGTTGTGT